TGAAGATCCTTCGATCTTCGATCCACTTGCACACTGACGAACCCGTCCTCCGGAGGAACATGTCGAGTATATATAAGTGTACACACGAATTCGAGTGCGTTTTATACTGGGTGGCGTGATTTCGCTTGCGTTGACCCGTTAGACTCTTTTTCTGTGAGTTTATTTTAAATAGTTTCGTTTTGGATAATCGCGCAAATTTTGTAGAGATAAGGAAAAATCTAAGTCCAACGGTTGGGAAAAGGGTTTAGTTGTTTTGTTTTTTTTCTTTACTTTGTTTTAAGGTAATTGAGATACGATAAAGTTTAATTATTTTTCATGTTGCTAGGTATTTTTTGGTTTAATATCTCTCTCGAGATCATTAAGATCCGGCCGTCGTATAATATTACTTTTTTCCAGTTCTTTATGCATCGTGATGAACTGGTTAAAAAAAAAAAAGAAATGTTCGATTTAAAATTACAAGGAAGCGAAAGGTATTCAACATATTTTATACTCCAATTTGGACAATTTCGGTGGTCGATTGATTGAACAGGTGCATCATTTTTTCGAAACGCATAATCCTTACTTCTCACGTAATACATATTTCTTCTATCCCAATCAAATACTTTCCTCTTCCCTCGTTATCCTCAAATTACGACGAACGACATCTTCGAACAAATTTCGAATTCATCCTCCGTTCCCTTTCTCAATTTATTAATCCAAAAAGGAAACGAATTTCAAAAACACCTTCGAACGCTCGATCGATTCTTCCTTAAACTCCCCCTATTTCCCCTCGTTCTCGAACCTTTACACCCCAAGCGCGATCGATTCGCGACAAACACCCTGTACAGAAGGATCGTACACGTGCACAGGTTGCGTTTTGAGAGAGAGAGAGAGGGGAGGGGGAGGGGCACGTGCGTGTTCGCCCTTGCATCGAAGCAACGTGAGTCACTCTCTCGTCAGGGTCTGCGCTGGTAGCCGCGAAAAACTGCACGCTGCACTTCGGGAATGTCGTTGGCATGTACAGGGTGTTCCCCTTTGCTGCTGTCTGGCTGGCCGACAAGAACGGCCGAAGAAGCTTTGCCTCGGGATTTCGCTTCCCCCTTTCTTCTCTCCTTTTTTCCCTCCGGCTCGCGGCCTTTTCGAGGAACCGACTCGCTCTTCCTGCCTCGCTCCCGATCGAGGAAAATCTTCTCCTACGTTTGCCCAATTTCGTCTTCTCTCGGTTTAACGTGGCAAGACGAGGATATATTTTGAAATATATTGATGTTTGGGAAGGTATCTAGAAATCGTGGGATGAATTTTCTTCGTGGCGATAAATAGCCATATATTTTTCAATCTCGTTCGATTTGCTCATCCTCTTTTGATTATATAATATTGGGAAGGAATTATATAATTCGTTGGTAATATATTTATATTAAAGAGCGCAAGAGTTCGTCTTAAAAATCGTAAGTTTTAACGCGATCATTTTTGGATTCGGCTTGGGACAAATTCTTCTTTCCAAGATTTAAGGTTGATACATCCTTAAAAAAATAATTTCTTTCCACTGATTATCGGCGATTATTTCGGATATTGGAATCACGCGATTCTCGAGAAAGAGAGAGAGAGAGAAAAATCGTGTCCATTCGAAGAGAAAATGCTCGTAATTTCGAGAATTAATTGTGGCAATTTAAAAAATTGCCCCCACGAACCGGATCTCGAGGAGGAGAGATACGTGTCCCAAGGATCGTCTCCTCGATACTCCTCCGATGACTTATTACGACGCTCCTCTTCGGGACTCGTGCGCTGCCTATTGCTCGTTTTTCCACTCTCGTCGAGAGATTATTTAGCACTCCATTTGTCGGCGGCATTGCTGGATTATAGACCGTCGAGATCGACCCAGTTCAGAATGACGCGGATCCCCACCTCTCTCTCTCTCTTTCTTTCGTACCGTTTTCTTGTTCGTCTGTCTTACTTCTTCCTTCGGGTGCGAGTAATGATGCATCGAT